CTGGAGTTCGTGGTTGAGATTGTGCAGTGACTGTGTGAATAAGAAGAAAGTAAATTCATTCGACATTTGACAATATTGAACAGTTTCAATGTACTACTACTACTGCTACTACTACTACTACTGATTTCGATATGAATAGTGTGAATGAATCGTGTAAATGTGAACAGAATTGGTTCATTTTGATTTGGTGAGGAATATATTACGTTTAATGAAACGAATCGTTTGACCGAATGGATGTCTGATCACAACGACATTCATTCCTTTCATTTGCTTCTATTCGTTTGCAATTCGACTTGTATGGATCACTGTCATGTGAATATACGATTCACATCAGTCCCACAGATCGTTGGTAAATTTACACAAACATGTGACTTACTTCCATTACGATATGTAATTCTGTCATTTATCAATATTCGATCAACATACAATCTCAACTCAATATGGTGAAGTGTTTACAAGTGAATTACAGACAAACATTCAAGATTCTTCTTCTGTAGCTGAGCAACATTTGGAAGCTTCATATGATCATGCAATTACATCCTATCTCGGTTGTTCTCTCTCTCTCTCTCACACACACAGCGCACACTTATATCCTTTTTCACTTTAACTAACCACATATGAAGTTACTAGATTCAACACAGTTTAATTCGGAACCATCAATGAATGGATGAATCTGCACACAATTACATCATCGTTGAATTTCATGTTCCACCGAGTATTACGATTACTGTAACCAATTTTGTTGAAACTACCCTTGAATCAAATGATTCATTATGTTGTATATGGTTGTTGTATGAAGTCACTTCTATCAAGTTGATTAATACAGAATTCCATCTGTAATTGTGATCAATAATACATGATAGATTGTAAGAAGATCAATCAAAGCCGACAAGATGAAAGGGATGTATGTTGTTCTGTTGAGATCGATCCAACCTACTTGATTATCAGTTAATATGACGTGTGTATTGTATCATGCACAGTTTTTGACAAATCACTTTATTCTCTCTCTCTCTCATATCGACATGTAGTTGTAATGATGCATCAATTTACACACAGTGACATGTACACATTTTTGAACGTATAGTTTACTGGTGATGTTTCTTCATGAGAATGATGGAAATGAATATTGTGACAGGGGAATATCAACGCGGCGAAAATGATATCACATCTTCTCATTTGTGATGACATGTGAAGTAGTCGGATAACTTTTCGGGATACCAGGACACTAGTAATTATTCATGATTCGTCATTATAAACTCCTCTGTTTACTGATTATCATTGTATGTGTTATGGTTACGGTAAACGGTGTTCGATATAAAGTAAACTTTGTTAGTGTCAGTAAGTGTTTGTGGTGATGATTAAATTTCTGATTGAGATCATGAATTGATTGATGTTAGACCATTCGAATCTCGCGAGCGGGATTGTAGGCACGCACTGCTGAGGAATTCCACAATGGGGCGAAACGTCCTTCCAGCGTCTCCAGGTTTTCAGTGGTGGTCTAACATCAATCAGTTCATGATCTCAATCAAAAAGCAAGTTATGTTTGTTATGACAGTAATCAACTATTTATAATATTTTCAGATCACAAAGACTCTGTGTTGTAATTCTGTTCAATTGACATGTATTTCATTTTGGTGTTGGGTACAATTCACTGTGTGAATATCAACAGTGTGATGCAGTTACACTCATTTGAATGAAAGATCATCTACATACATAAAAGTACATATCATCTAGATTTCCAAGTTAAATATGAAAGTGAACTTTCTGTTGATTTCAGGTGATATGATTTCTAATGTTTTAATGATTAATGTTACTTTACAATTAGGAATAACTAAATGTACTCTGAATGGTATGAATTATTTTTTCTGGTTAGTGTTTTTTTAGCGAATTAGTTTTCTACGAGATAGGGTTGCTAACCCTATGCTCAACACTCCTCCTTTATCTTGGTGTGTGACCGACAGTCGCCTCATAGGGGCTCCAGACGCAAAATACTTCGGATCTGTTGGTTAGACAGTATCATCAACAACCTACTGTAGGAGAGAACAAACCAGATTCCAGTGGTGGAAGAAATCAGCAAAACGCGCTACAGGTGGATAGATAGGACACACATTGAGAAAAAAGCACCCAAATGCATCACAAGACAAGCCTTCACATGGAATCTCCAATGCCAAAGGAAAATAGGAAGACCACAGAACACATGACGTGGAGAAATGGAGATAGACATGAGGAGAATGAACAAGAATTGGATATAACGAGAAAGGAAGGTTGAGGACAGAGTGGGTTATAGAGTGCTGTTCAGCGGCCTATACTCTATTCGGAGTAACAGACGTAAGTAATCAAGTAAAAGTAAGTAAATGTACTCTGGATGATGGAGACTAGAGTTAGTACCTACGATGTGAGTTTTGTCTTTATTGAGACTTTTCAGAGTTGACGTTGGGCACTAATGGGGAACTGATCATTTACAGTCCTAAACAATTAGTTTATATGAATTAAAATTTACCGCATTACATATATCTACAGTATATATATGTGCTCAAATCTGATTAATTGCACTTGCTTTGCTTTACTTCGCTCTGATTCTTAATCCGCGTCTGTATTTGCTTGCTTGCTCTCATTAACCTCACTGCTCAAGTTGGCTCGATGTGCTTGTAACTATTTTATTTGTACTATCCAATGATGAACTCTAGTTGCCACTTCATATTACCTTTTGAATTCATACACCGTTGGAATTTATATAATAACGGTTATCAGGGTGATTAATAAACGAAGCCTAAGGAATTATCTCAAAATCGAGCCACTACAAACTAGTGGCTATCTAAACTCTGTAGCCAAGTGGATAGCATGGTGAAATTTGAAGCGAACGATATTGAACTCAAATCGCCGAATAAACGTCAACTCTGAAACTCCAGGATATCTATATGACGAGTCAGAAATGTGTATTTAAGATAACACCGTTGACCATAATTTCACTTATCTTAATTCTAATTCATTGATTGTCAGGTTAATGTATTCGTGCATGAGATCAACAGATCCTAGATTCGAATCTTGTAAGGTGAGATTATGGATGTACACTACTGAGGAGTTCCACAATAGGACGAAACAATCCTCCAGTACTTTCAGGTTTTTCATGATTGTGTAGCATCAATTGAATACATGATCTCAACTATTGAAATAAAGCAATATTGATAAGTAATTTCAATTACTCATGTGATTTAATTAAAGACTTCAATTTATTAGAATGATATTTTTCTTAAAAATTTGTGAGATCTATGCAACAAACAAAAAAAAATGTTATACTTATAGTTTTCTTTTACAAATTGTTACCATAGCAACAATCCCTAATGATATCATGTTGCTGTGTTTACAGTTTAGTATAGATTACCCATGTTACATTGATTTGTAACTATGTATGTGTAGAATACACGATGTTTACATCATATAATCTATCATATTATTATTGTTTATAGTTAATAAGAAATATTCATCTTTATGTAAATGTTTAAATGATTGTATATAAGTCATTGAATAATATTTATATGTGGATTATGAGAAAGTAATGGAATCCAGGATATGAGTTTCGTCTTATTTAGGACTCGTCAGCTGGATGTAACTATATCTCAGAGTTGATATTCATTTCAGGACTCGAACTTAGTAGGGTTCGCTTCAAACTATATTATGTAATCCACTTAGTTACTAAGTTCTGATAGTCATTTGGTTGTATAATAAAGTGAATATGTAAGTGGAATTTCAATACTATGACTGATAGTTTGTGTTTAGGAAGTATGAATTATGATTCTGAAATATGGAAAAAATTCACTTGAAATTGTAGATGAAGCTGTCGGTCATATAATTTACGTTCGATGTAAACCAGGAACATTTAAGTGAGTGAAAGCATTTCAAGTAAAATTCTGGTATAACTATTGGTCGACTAGGATAAAAAAAACGCGACTGTTAAGTCTATTTGGGAGGCAAAACCTTATTCATACGTCCTCTTCGTGCTTCCTGGATAGTGGGATTCAGTCCCATGAACTAACGTGAGCAGCAACCACAGTGGTAGAGATCGACCGATACTCCCAAACTGATGACGAAACCCACAAAGAATCACAGCACAAATGACAAAAAAATTCACAAAAGTGGTGCGTGGAATGTACGGGGTTGCTCCCTACGTGCCAAAATTCAAAAACAGCTATTATAGCCACGGTAGTTGTGCCGTGCTTCTATGTGGCCTGTTTCTATCCAGAAAGGACTTCTAGGCTTCGCCAACTTGTTTGGCTGGAAGAGGAGGATTAGGTTTATGCGCGGAATTAAAATATCGAGGATACGAAGCAGTAGAAATACTTTTGTTATGTTCTTATCTTCGATTAATTATATCATGTGATACTGTGGTATGTGCTACTGATGTCGACAGATATAAGTGGTATGTATTATCAGTCGAAAGTGAAATGTCTGGTAGCAGAATGTTAAGAAGACTGAAGAGAAGAGAGCAAGAACAGAGAGTGATTGATGTGGAAACAAAGAAACAATCAAGTGTTAGACAATTGATCAACATATTGTAAATGGAGTATTTAGTGTATGTTGTACTCAGATTTTACCAAGTGATTTTGTAATATTGTGTCCAAACGCGTTTGGTTGTTCTCGCTTGTGTCCTCGTTCACTGCAATACAATCGCTAGTTGGAGACATTGATTTATACAACCAGAATAATATCGCATAAACCTACACGAACAGCCTAGAGTTCTTTTTGGTCCATCGAGTTAACAGCTTCTCATCTAAACCAGCTGGATCAGTCCAGAACGTCAATCTTAGCCTCACTAATGTGAATCATATATTTTAAACATATTGGGTTGATATACAAATCAAACAGACCACATCTCTCCACGAAATAGGAAACAGCATTTGTACATGATCTAGCCTAAAGTGGCTGTAAATGTAGGAGACTGTAATTAACTCTTTATATTTAACTCGTAATCCGAACTTGGACAATTAAGAGTTTGAAAAGATGGATGATCTAAAACTATAAGGGAGAGTGTTGGAGAGATGCAGAAAATTGCCAGAAAAACAAAGCTAACATAAGCTCTGAAAACACTATGAAACATCATATCCAATCAGCATTCAATAGAAGTTTTACCAGAAACATCTAGAAAGTAGAAAGTTACCTACAGTGTTTCTAATGATTACCTATACTACTACTACTACTACTACCACTACTACTACTACTACTACTACTACTACTACTACTACTACTACTACTACTACTACTACTACTACTACTACTACTACTACTACTACTACTACTACTACTACTACTACTACTTTGTTTGGTAACGTTCCAGAACTTTCCAGAAACCCAAGGTCATCTAAAATACTATATAAACCCTAGATTTTCTGTACATAAAAGAACCTTTGGAGTAAAGCGTTTTCTTTCATATTTCATGCCTTTTCTCTCGTGTTCAAGTCGCTGTGTAGATTTAGCCTGGAGGTTACTAGAAGAGTCTAGGTACCTAATCTAGCGTTCAGTTATAAGACTTATCGAAGAATGTAAATGAGTTGTTGTTTCTTCCCCCTGTGGAAGACTTCTAGAACCACCAAATATTTAAAATCTGTCTAAAATTCATAGTATTATTGTTTTCTAATTACAAAGGGTTTATTTCAGTTGCTTAACAATAGCTAGATAATTAACCGCAGTCGTTTAAAGCTGATCCCTATACATTAACATTGTTGAATGTTGGCCAGCTCAACGGTCTAGAGATTAAGCATTTGCGCACGAGACCAATAAATCCTAGGTTCGGATAAGCTGGGCAGGATGGTGGGTGCGCACTGCTGAGATTCCTGAACTGTGAACATCCACAATCCAGCATGCGTGACTCATGAGTGATCGAATATTCCAGGTTCGAGTCCCTTTATAAAATATTGATACTCGACAAAGATATGAAGTACAATTTTTATCGAAAACATGAACCAATTTAAATTAGATCATCGTTGAAAACCTGTAAGCAATGGATGACCGTTTCATCATATAGAACTTGCACATGATCGAAATTCCTATGTTCAAGTCCATCATCATACCAGATCGTGGATGTTCACTCTTCAGAAGTCTCATACTACGATGATACTGTCATCCAATGCTTCAAGGTTTTCAAAAAATGATCTCGTTTAGATTCGTTCATCTTCTCAGATCTTTATGAAATATCAATACAATATAACATAATCAGTATTAACTCATATAATGTAATATCTCTTGTAGTGAACAAGAACACCAGAGGGGACAATCGAATGTATTTGGCACAAAATTACAGGACCCGTTAATAAAATCGAACAATCATAAAGTAAGCGCTTAATTTGCAAAATGTCCATCGATTGTCTCAAAATGACTCAGAATTCATTGTTCTCGCATCTTCATACAAATCGCATCCTGTTTCGATTCTTGACTGTTCGATCCTCTTTATCTCTTTGCTGTCAGACATTCTATTCACGACTGGCATCATATACTACTTATGTCAATATAAATAGCACACATCACACTCGTTCACCCTTCAAAGCAGTCGTTCTTGTGGTGGTTCATGCTCGCCGTGCCACATTCTTCGTCACTGCAGTCTGTGCTACGCTCTCCGTCAAAATGTCGAGTCTGCGGCGCGCTGACCTCCATAGCTCTGTCCGTCTGTCGGGGAAACAAGATCCGACATCCACCCGGCACCTGGGACGCTTAACACCTGTCCCCCACTGGCCTGCTAAGCCTTCTACATCCAATGTCCGCCCTGCAGCTGCACGTCCCACCGCTCTTCTCCGTCGACAGCACCCGCTATAATCAAACCCGTCCCGCCAGGACACTCCATTCAGCCCACCTCTACGCACCAGACTGCTCCAAACAGCACCTCAGCTCCAGGCCCGCAACGGCGTCCGCAGAACAGCACTCTTCCCCTCCTGATTGTCAGCGACATCAAATGTAGGGAACAGAACACGGGTTAAGACAATCGAATGTATTTAACACAAAATTACAGGACTTGTTAATAAAATCTAACAATCATAAAGTAAATGCTTAATTCGCAAAATGTTCACCAATAGTCTTAAAAACACTCAGACTTCATTGTTCTTGCATTTTTCATACAAATTGCATTCTGTTTCGATTCTTGACCGTTTGATCCTCTTTGTCTCTTTGCTGTCAGACCTTTTATTCATGACTGACGTCATATACTACTTATGTCAATATAAGTAGCACACATCACACTATCAACTACTTATGTCGATTTGAATAAATGAAAGAAAAAGAAAAAGAAAAAGAAAAGAAAAAAATATACATTTATAGACAATAAAAATATTTTTCACATTAATCATACATTATTATTAATAATATTGACATTGTCAGTAGTCTATAAATTGTATTTAATCATATACGTCATCTTATATAAATATATATATAATCTAATGAATAAATTGTTACTACCTAGCAACTATATACATGTTACTATGCCATTTTTTTCTTTTTTCTTTTTTTTTAAAATTTCATCGAATTATTAATGAATAAATAAATTATTTGTTTCTAATCACATGACAATGGATCGATAATAACAGTGAGTAGACGATTATATATATTTAAGCTGGAAAATGATGTTATTAGTAGTAATATAGCATTATTGAAGTAATATAGTTAGCTTTAAATTCATTAGATATATTGAACATGAGGAGGGATTACATCATTTTATATATTTATATGGTTCTATTTATGTTATTCAATGAGATTAATGCTAGCGGAAGTAAGTTATTGTATGTTGTATAGATAAACTATGGTAATGTTTACACTATGTTCTTGTTGGATAGTTTGGAAATATAAGCAGATATTGACTTCATTACTTACGTCTGTTTTCCCCCCCTCCCCGCCCATCAATGGGGAATAGGCCGCCAACCAGTATTCTTCGACATACTCTATCCTTGGTCTTCTTTTCTAATTCTATCCAATTATTGTTTATTCTACTTATATTTGTTTATATTTCGTGGCGTAATGTGTTGTTTGGCTTTTCTCTTCGTCTTTGGCAATGAGGTGAGGATTTGCCTTGTGACACAGTTGAGCTGCTTTCCTCAATGTGTGTTCTAGCCACTTATAGTGCTTCTTCCTGATTTATTTATCTGCTGGAATCTAGTTTTTCTTCTCTCCCTGTTATAACTTGTTAATGTGTAACGTGATGGTCCACCAATTAGAGAACAGTGATTCACCGATCGAACCAATGACGCCTAAAACCCGTGCTAGCAGTCTCGAGTCCTTATTGGTCCTACTTCCTGCTTAACTCAGCCAGTTACGTTCAGAACACCAGTCTCAACCTCTGCAATATGAATCATTTATTTCAAGCATACTGGGTTTATATACCAACCAGGTAGACCACATCGTACCATAAAATAGGAAACAACATTTGTACAAGATTTGGCCAAGTGTGGCTGTGAATGTGGGGGGTAGCAATTAGTAGACAGGGATAAATTCAAGAATGCTAAGTCGTAATATAACAGTACATTGGTTAAAATAAAGCTTATAATAAGAAAGACATGAATATGAATAGTTTAGTTATTTAACAATTATACGCATAGTATTGGTTCATAAATGGATCCCAAAAGTTACCATTCATTATGCTTATCGAGACATAACACTTCCACTGTAGGTTCTTGTTGATTGTGTCTGGCGTAGACAACGGTTAATGAACACTTGTATCGTCTGGATGATGACTTTCGTAGTTCACCAAATTTCTGCCTCATACAGCAGAACTATCTTGATATTTTTGTATTGAAAATTCTGACTTTGATGTTGGTTGACAGACAGTTGTTTTAAGTTTCAGATGTTCTTCAGTTGTAGATATGCTGCTCTTATTTTGCTTATCTGTACCCTCACATCTGCATCAGATCCACCGTGTTCATTAAAATAGATATTTGATAGATGAATATTCAAATTCAACTTCATTAGTTCATTATCAGTATAGGGGTTGTGGAGATTGTTACGACCACCGTTGGAAACCTGGAAGCACTCGTCCTAGTATGGGACTCTTCAGCAGTGTGCATCCACGATCCCGCTCCCTGTGAGATTCGAACCCAGGACCTACTGGTCTCGTGCGTGAACGCTTAACCTCTAGATCACTAATTTTCTTTCAGCAATGAACTCCGGATACAATGAAACGCTGCCAAGAACTATCATTCTTTACAATACTTCATAAAGAATATAATTCTGTTTATTATTTTTCATAGTTATGTTTGGCATTAAGGCATTAATAGTCCTGAATTTAAGCCAATGACTAGATTATCAAGCTCTCATCTGGAACCAATGCTTATTGGCTAATTGGAAAGAGGCTGAGTTGTAAACATTGTCTATTATGTAATAGGTGGCAGGTAATTGAATATATTACAACTTGACTGTGAATTACATTCGACAGTTCTACTCAGTCTGTTGTGAAATAGTAACTCACTGATGAAGAAAATGGTGGATGTGTCACTCATTATCGTGGATTAGTTGAAGTTAGACATTAACACGGTTGAATGCCAGCCAGTTCAGTGGTCTATAGTTTAATCGCTCGTGTGCGATACTGATAGGTCCTCGGTTAGAATTTCGCGAGTTAGGATTGTGGATGTACACTGCTGAAGAGTCATACGACAGGACGAAACAGTCGTCCAGTGCTTCCAGGTAGTCTATGGTAATCTAGCTTCAATTAACTCATGATCTCAACTATTCAAATTACATGCGATCAATTGTGAAGCACAGATTATTACTGTTGAAACACATCTTCGTCAACAGTTCGTTCATGATTCTACTAGACTGTTATAAGTTATAAGTATGTCACAAACAGTTCATAATGTACATAATAACAAAAAATATTGTTCACCTTTGTTTTACATTGATTCTTATTGTATTTCATAGACAATAATCAATCTTTTAAATATCTATGTAATCTATTAAAGGAACACCAAGTAAGTTTGTTATTATTTTTGTTAGTACCTCTGATATAAATGAATGGATGATGGTGTTTTATTGTTTATTTATTTAAACACATAAACAATGGTACAATGGGGTACCAAATAGATATGCACTACATAAATCATACGATTTGTTTGAGGGCCGAGATACTACCCGGGTGCTCAAAACAAAGCAGGTGGTTTTTGTAAGGAGGACACGCCCGAAGCTTTCATCCTAAAGGTCTGATCCACAAGACAATGGAGCAGTGTCAGGAGATGCAGTCTCATGATAGCCGTTGACCAACAATAGGTTCATACGCCATTTGTTTCCTTAGGATCCTGGAGCTCATATACACCATCGGTTTGAAATTATTATTACCAAACTCTACTGGATGGATTCACGGTATTCACCAAAACGGTTACAGTAGATAACATTCGCTTTTCGCCCTTTTGTTTTGGTATACAACACCCCACCTCGTGAAGGTAATGAGTAAGACTTCCCTTTCAGTGTTTGCATGCATGTGGCCATATGAGAGGGAGAGATAACTCTCCTCACTCTCGGCCGTGCCAGGGCATTTTTGGGGGCAATTTAAATGTTCACTTTAAGTTTATTTCACCTTTAAAAGGATAATTCATTCAGTGTAAATACTAACGAATGGAGCTTTAAGAGAGTTGATATTAGGACTATAATCTATGTTCTACCTTTGAGCAACACGAAAGTGCCTTTGAGAGTATTCACCTACTTATTAGATCTAAATGATAGTTACAAACCTATGTGAACAATAAAGATTATGATTTACAGTTGATGGTTAGGGTTAAAGATTAGATTTAGGGTTTTCATTACGAACAGACATCAACCGAAACGCTATTTAGCCATAATGGTTGAATGAATTTCGCGCTAAAATCAAAGAATTGTCATCCTAAATCTGGTTGGATTGTCCAAGAATTACAGTCTCATCATTTCGTCTGTGATAGAATAAACTGATTATGATGGTACTTAATATTGAAGTAAGTTATGAAAATATAGTTCTGAAGATATCGGTGATTTAGGAATCTCGGAATGTGGATAACAGGTAAATTAGAATGAGGAAATGGATACCTCTAAATGATCCAAGGCTCTATGTCGCTATGTTAGGCTATATTAAGACTGTCAGTTCAGTTTCAACTAATGATGAAGTAGGAGTTCTATCCTAACACAAAACAACTGTCGAATATATCGCAGTGATAATCTAACTAAAATCACTCCATGATATGAACTATCAGTTGAATAATACCCACTAATCTATACTAAGATGTGGATGTGAATCTGCAATGAAATTGTGACCTCCAAGTAATAAAACGCGGCCGCCGCACTACAGGCAAGTATAATCTACATGCATACCGGTAACATATAAGTTTACACCCATAAATTCCTTGGTATGCATATAAGTATACTCACCTTAGAAGCAAATATACGTTATATAATTACTGGTGACACCGTCACTTACACATTGCATGCATATCACTGGCACTAAGTCTTTCACCTCTGCACTTCAGGACATACACATTAGAATAAAAACTTTCTGAGGGAGGGTTAACGGTTACCTCTCTCTAGTATTTATTATCATATCTTTTTATTATCTTCAACCTGATGGTTTAGACTTCTGATTTTGATTAGACATAGACAGACATATTTTCCAAATCACGTATTCTATAGATATATCTACATATATTAACCATATGAGCCGAAACTCATGCAATTTATATACATAAGCATATACATCAGACAGCCCCGAAAAATGGAACAAACTTAATCTCATTTACAAAAGATTGATGGGTTAGTCTGATCTTCACCAACCATCAAAGTTGGCTAGAGAGATTTCCCCTATTAATCAGTAGTTCCGCGATAAGACTTTAGGTCAAATTTTTCTATCCCTACTCATTTACAAAAGTAACCAGGACTGGATCAATGTAACCTGTATTGATTCAGTGTATTTTGTATATGTCGAATTTCAGTTTATTATTGTTCAATGAACAAGTTTTGTTCTATTTATGGTTATTCATAACATTTTCAGCTTAGTCTATTACCGTATTCACCTAAGTGTTTTGTGATTAAAATGATTTGTTTTAGAGTTTGTAAACGTAGATGAAGGTGAGTATTTACCTTTTTTTGTCAATTATACAAATCAGTTAATTAATTACTAAATATCTATAAGTTATGTCATGATAACATCGTGGATGTGTACTGCTGAGGAGTCCTATACGGGGACGAAACAGCCATCCAGTACTTTTCGATTTTTTATGATGATCTAGCTTAGATCGAATTGTGAATTCCGTTGTGAATATACTACAATCCTTTTAAATCCTCAAACCAGTTTGTGTTAAAAAAATTTGGTGATAAAGACGTCGGTAATTCAGTCAGCTGCGACGTAGGACCAGGCACATATTTGCACCAGTCCAAGTCGTCATACCTCATTAGCACAGCAAGATGAACACCGGATTCATAGAAGTAGTTAATTCAATGTTGGTAATATATAAGTAAAAGATTGTGTATAAGGATGCAATTTTCATCTCATAGTTTAAGGGAAGACAGAGAGTGTATGCACCTACGCAATTGTGATTGATTCTGAGCCATGTCACCCAGAGCCTCCAACCATTGGTTACGATGATCATGCGGATACCAACCAAGTAGTCTGCATATAACAACATGGCTCACACTAGAAGTCAGTGACTTCAAGCACTGATGCCACATTTTGGTTTGGCCTCCCCTAAATTTCTTTCAACCATCTCCAGCACTAGTCAGTATAGCGCGTCGTGGTTATCGGTGGTCGGGTATGCATAACACGTGGCCCAACCATCTCAGTCGATGAAGATTCACAATCTCATCACAACTGATTTACCGTCATCATTCCCTCATACCCTGTATCTGTCTAATCTCACTATTACTTACCCGGTGATCCCTGCCGTCATACAGTCAAGGTAGCTGCAACAGTCGGATCATACTGTCTATAGCTTAACGAGGTTCACGTGCAGATAGTTATTTCAGGAAGTAAATAAACTAATCATATTCTACTAAAACTGGAGAACTGATAATGTAGTCAATGAAGACTAGAATACAGTAAACCAGTTAATTGTATTTAGCAAAATTTAAACAAGACATAAAACAAGCCATCTACATATCTTCTTTAAATTGCATCTTACAAACTTGATTGTTTCTTCATTCCTGTTGTCATTCTCTCTCTCTCTTGCCATCATGTTTCTTCTCTGTCAGTAAGAATGCTACTTCCAATTCCTGGTACATACTACTTATATCTATCTATATAAGTAGTACATATCACAATGAGCTTGTTATATACTAGTGTATATTGTTCGATTTGACTAAGTAATTTCATTTATTTTACTATTACTTCAGACGGTAATCCAAGAGGTGAAACAACAGATATTAAGTAGGTTTCCAATTCATTATAATAATGATGAATTTTATGTTTCTTTGTGTAGTATTTTCAACATAGATTTATTTATATCATCCTATTGATGTGTTAGGACTGCCATTGATCAGTCTCTTATTGGTATATATGTATACTATGTGTATTGGCTCGATATTGCCTTCAGTCATAAGCGTTATAAATAGCGGTGGATGGTGGTGACTAGCAGTGAAATCTAGGACTCATGTTTCGTTCCATTTTGGTACTAATCAGTTGGATGTACGTTCATCTCAGAGTTGATATTCACTCTGGGACTCAAACCCAGTACCATTCGCTTCGAACGCCATCACATTATTCACCTAGTTAATGAGTCCTGTTAGCCACTGGCTTGTTCAATTCATTTGGTATTGTTTACTTGAATTTTCCCATTCATGTTTAGAACTGCGATTGATCATCAGTTCTCTATTAGCATATATGCATCCTATACAGATTATCTCGATATTGTCTTAATTTACACGTCACTATCTATCTTTTCTATCAATAAGATCATTATCAGAAGAAGACTTAGTTGGTGTTGTGGAATATGTTACTGATCTCGACAGATATAAGTAGGTATGTGTCATCAATCGAATGTGAATGACCTGGAGACAGAAGGTTAAGAAGATTGAAGAGAAGAGAACAACAACAGAGAATGATTGGTTTGAAATTGAAGTATTTATTGTATGGTTTTCAGATTTTATTCAGTCGTTCTATACTTTTGTATCCCAATACATTTCGTTGTCCCCCCCACTGGTATTCTCGTTCACTACAATATCGACCCAACCAATGACGCACAAAACCCGTATGAGCAGTCTGGAGTCGTTATCGGTCCTTTTTCCTACCTAGTTCTGCCTGTTAAGTCCAGAACATCAATCTCAGCCTCTACGATATGAATTATTTATTCCAAGCACACTGGGTTTATATACTAACCAGACAGACCACATCGTACCATAAAATAGGAAACAACATTTGTGCAAGATGTAGCCAAATGTGGCTATGAATGCAAGAGGTAATGATTAAGAGACAGGGAATAATTCAAGAATGGTAAGTCGTATAATGATAATCCATGGGTCGAATAGAAGCTTATAATATGTGGAATATGAATAAACAAAGTTTAGTTACTTAAACATTACACTATATATTTAGTTTGCTGACGCCTGTTACTCCCAGTGGAGCATAGACCGTCAACCAGCATTCTCCAACCCACTCTGTCCTGGACCTTCCTTTCTAGTTCTATCCAATTCTTGTTCATTCTTCTCATGTCTGTCTCCATTTCCCTGCGTAATGTGTTCTTTGGTCTTACCCTTCTCCTTTGGCCTTGAATATTCCATATGTGGGCTTGCTTTGTGATGCAGTTGGGTGCTTTCCTGGATGTGTTTCCTATCTACTTCCAGCGCTATAAATCATTTATTTCAAACATACTGAGTTTATATACAAATCATACAGGTCACATTACAACACAAATTAGAAAATAACGTCTGTACAAGATTTAGCCAGAAAGTGGCTGTGAATGTAGGAGACTGTAATGAATAGACTGGATATAACTCAAGAATAGGAAACCGTATGATAATAGTAATAATCTATGGGTCAAATGGAAGCTTATAATAAGAGGAACATGAATATGAATAGTTTACGACAAGCATGCCAAGCATATGACTACTTGTAGGATCAACCAGTTTATTCATAGTTATATAATATAATAATTTTACATTGGTTTTCTGAAGAACCAGACACCATCCAGACTTTCACGTGACACTTCAAACAGTACAGCTCTATCCCATTTAATAGGAGAGCCAGACACCATATAGGCTTTAACAATACAATCTGAATAGTACAACTCAATCCTGTGACGCAACCATACAGGTACCAAGCACCCTGATGGACCATTCGCACTATTCACATGACATCTATAGTTCGAGATCTAACCAAAATGTGGCTATGAATGTAGGAGACTGTAATTAATAGACTGAACATAACTCAAGAACAGTACATCGTATAATAATAATAGTCAAATGGAAGCTTATCATAAGAGGAACATGAATATCCAGATAGTTTAGCTCATTAACAATTATACAATAAAAATCAGTGTATCATACTAATCCAGAAATAGATCCTGACCGTTATCATTCATTATTCTCAATGAGATATCATACAAATAACTTCTGAAGAGTAAACATAATGAAGTTACGAAGCTTCATTGTTTATTTGTTTGTTTGTTTTTTTCATATGTAACTTACTATTTATAAAATTGTATTCATGGTAAATGGTCAATCAATTTTCATTTGTAGGTGTTAATGATTGATTTACATAGTAACTAATTGTACATACCAAAAAATCATCATCATCATAAGATCCATACGTTACTCGTCATTTCATAAAAGTCAATCATCCCCTATTAGATGAAGAAAACCTACACAAGAATTTTGTTAAAAACAAAAAAAAAATTTTAAAAAAATTAAAAAAATTTTTTTCCATGTAGATTGTATCCAGGTGAAAGGAAACTAGACTCATTGAGTAAAATCTTATTGAATAATAGATTGGAAATATAAATGACAGATAAGTATCAAACTATGATGAATGTTAATTTAGTAACTATGACGAATGAATGTAATAAGAGAATGTTAGCATAGAAGCCAAATTGTAACTAGGTGGTAATTTGTTTATAAAGAAAAGAGTGATATCAATTAAGTTATATTCACTTGGTATTGTTTGACTTGTATCTTTCCATTGAGGTTTTAAGACTGCAATTGATCAGTGTGTTATTAGCATATGTGCATACTGTGCATATTGCTTCGATATTGCCTTAATTCACAAGCTATTTGTAATCAATGATGGAGAGTGGCTAGCAGTGGAATCCAGTTTGATGCGCGTTTCGTCCTATTCGGGACTCGTCAACTGGATGTACCTGCATCTCAGAGAGTTGATGTTCACTCTGCGACTCAAGCCCAGTACCATTCGCTTCAAACGTCATCGCGTTATCCACTCAGCAACTGAGTCCTGATAGCCACTTGCTTGTGCAATGAGGTGAATTTGAATTCACTTGGTATTGTTTGGCTTGTATCTTCCCATTGAGGTTATTTGTTATATGTTATATGCAATACAAATCTATGGTTTCATTGAGTGTTCTAACTCAAATTGAGCTCCTAAACAATAATTGGTGTATATGGGCTCCAGTATCAGAAGGGAACAAATAGTGTATGAATGTAGTGTTGGTCATCGGCTATTATGGGACTACATCTCTTAACGTTGTTCAACTACCCTGTGGATTAGACCTATAAATGAAAGACTTAAAGAGTGGATCCCTAAGAAAAACCACTTGTGTTCGGTTTGACCACTCGGGCAGTATCTCAACCCTCACACAAATTGAATAGTAAAGTGTTATTCACTTACTTACTTATTTACGCTTGTGACCTCAAATGAGGCATATTCCATCGACCAGTATTCTCCAATCCATTCTGTCCTGGACTTTCCTTTCTGGTTCTATCCAATTGTTGTTCATTTTTCTCATATATGTCCTCATTACTCGGCGTAACGTGTACTTTGTTCTTCCTCATCTCCTTTGGTATTCAGGATTCCATGTGAGGGTTTGCCTTGTGTTACAGTTGGGTGGTTTCCTCTACGTGTGTCTTAAAAAGTTCCAGTGTTTCTTTATGCTTACCTCCTCCGATGAAATCTGGTTTGTTATCTCACACAGTAGGTTGTTGTTGATAGTTTCTGGCTAACGGATCGGAAGTATTTCGCTTCGACAACTGTTAATAAACACTTGTATGTTCTGGATGTTAGCTTTTATAGTTCTCCAAGTTTCCATTTCATTTGTTTTGAAAATTCTGACTTTGGTGTTAGTTGACATTTGTTTTGAGTTCCAGATGTTTTTCAGTTGCAGATATGCAGCACTTGCTTTACCAATCCATACTTTCACATCTGCATCAGATCCACCGTGTTAATCAATGGTGCTGCCCAGATACGTACTAGTTTTTAAATCATTCAAAGCTGCTTTTTCAAGCGTCATTTGACTGGTGCTGTATCGGGGAATCTTGTTTTTTTTCTTTGTTTTTGTTGAGACCTACTACTGCCGAGGCTGATGCTACACTGGTCGTGTACTCTTGCATTTGTTGTTGCGTGTGTGATAAAAGATCCAGATCATCTGCGAAATCTAGATCGTCCAGCTGCATTCTAGCTCTCCATTATATCCCGTGCTTCCTTCAGATGTTAACTCTTTCATAGTCCACTTGATCACCAGGAGAAAGAGAAAGAGGAAGAGTAAGTAACCTTGCCTGACACTTGTCCTTACTTGGAATGAACCTGTCCTCCATGAGCCATTTCGCAGTGTAGTCCATCATATGAATTCCAAGTGATGTTGACAATTTTCTCAGGTACACCATAAGGTTTCCATGAGATTTTTCCATTCAAGCCGTCAAACATTTTCTCATAGTCAATGAAGTTGATGTAGAATTCTGAATTCCATTCAACTGATTGTTCTACAATGATCTGTAGTGTTGTGATTCGGTCGGTGCACGATCTATTCTTACGGAATCCAGTCTGTTTATCACAAAGTTGCTCATCTACGGTATCCTTCATTCTGTTCAGTAACACCCTGCTGAGAAATTTTCCTGGTTTTGAGAGAAGAGTATTGCCTCTGTTGTTCTTCTACTTGCCGAGATCGCCTGTCTTTGATATCTTGATCGGGTGTCCTTTTTTCCATTCTGTTCGTACTTGTTGTTAATCCCAAATCATACAGAAGGGAAAGTTTAATATCTTTGCACTTACTGCCAAGTCTGCATTTAGTGCATCTGCTGGAATATCGTCTGGTCTCTTTGGTTTACCGTTCTTGATTTGTCTGATAGTCATGCTGATCTCTTCAATTGTCAGTGCGCCAATATTGGTTTTGAGGCTCATGGGTGCTGCTTCGATGTTGGGTGGGTTCAGTGAGGCTGGTAGATTCAAGAGTTCCTTAAAGTGCTCTACTCACCTATTTCATAGTTCCTTAATATTGGTGATTTCTTTGCCTTCCTTACTTTTCACTGGTGAAGTGTGGAACTTAGGTATTTAGTGCCTTCTACTGAAATACATTCAATTTCTAACTATCATTATATACTACTTATATGGATTTAAGTAGCTCACATCACAAATGCAGCATTTGTAATGGAACCTTTTAGAGTATTTCTAGATATTGAATTATACATTTTTATCTTCAGGATCATAATGAGTTTGATTTTAACTCAAATTCATTGAGAAGTTATTTTCTTATTCAGTAAGATATTTGATGAAAAAAAGTAAGTATATTGAAAATGGATTGATTTTTCTGATCTGGATCATCTTTTCATTCAATATTGTTAAAGATTATTCAACGTGTACTGTTATACAAATTATTGATTGCACATAATCTATTGCTTATTTGCACCTATTACTCCTCGTGAAGGAGCATAGGAGGCCCACCAGGACAATACGTAATCTATGCTCAAACGTATTCAAATGATAGTATGTAGACTTTGTTTGACAAATCCACTTTTTTTTACAAATTATATATATATTCCTAAGGAGAGATGAATGGTAGCTAGAAGTGAAACTAAAGACGCATGTTTCGATCTATTTGGAACTCGTCAGATGGATAGGAATGAATCCAAGAGTTGATGTTCACTTCAGAACTCGAAACCAGTACCCTTCACTCTAAACGTCATCACGTTATTCAATTAACTACTTAGTTCAAATAACCATCAACTTGTGAAGTTTGCTTGTACCTTCGTTACATTGATCAATCTTCTATTGACATATATGAATTGTGTGTGGGTCGCTTTGATATTACATTCAAATAATCTCGATCCTAAACGTCAATAAGAAGATTCAAACAATCTTTCTAGATTGAATGAATGATTCTGTTTTTTTCTTCGTTTTTTTTGTAAATAGCACTTGTATATTGCACACCTCTTCTTCATGTTAATCACACAAACACACAGCTAATGGTAAACATTTTCATAAATGAACACTTATTGAGCCGATGTTAGAAGGTGTACATACTTTACATTCCATAGAATAATCATAATTATTTAAAGTGTATACTGAAGACAATAATCAATTGATAGTCAGAGAAGGGTTTCTGTGGATATTATAGTAATTTAATAGTTGAATTTATGAATCAATTGAAGCTAGACCACCATGGAAAACCTGGAAACACTGCACGGCCGTTTCATCATATAATGGGACTCCTGAACAGTGCGCATCCACGATGCCACCTCGCGAGATTAAAACCCAGTACCTATCTGTCTTGTACGAGAACGCTTAACCACTAGATCACTGAGTCAGCAAACACAATGGTGTTGATGTCGAACTTCAACTAATCCACGAAATTGAGCGACACATTCATCATTGTCTTTAATGAGTTACCATCTTCACTGATCACTGATTCTCACTAGAACTTCATGAAATACCTCTTGAATCCAGTCACAAGTGAGTAAATGATGATTATAATCAGAGAAGGGTTTTTGTGGAGATTGTGCTAGTTTAATAATTGAATACATGTGCCAACTGAAGCTAGACCACTATGGATCGTTGGTACGCACTGTTGAGGAGTTGAATACTAGGATGAAACGACCGCCCAGTGCTTCCAGGTTTTCCATGGTGGTTCAGCTTCAATTGATTCATATATTCAACTATTAAATTAGGAAATTGATATATACTAGATATGAGAAAGCATAAAAGAAAGAATATCATGTTTCAATGATTGTTGTTCATAAATGAAGTTCCAGGCAAATACTTTTACATTTCATTGTCTTCACATCAAAATATAATTTGATAGGAAAAATTTGGATATATCAATATCTTTTTTGAGAATTTATGGAGATTATACTATTTTCAAAGGTGAATTCACAAGACGATCAAAGCTAGACCATTAGTGAAAATATGGAACCACTGGATGACGTTTCTTCCTAGTATCAGACTCCTTAACAATGCCCAGCTACGATCTGTCACGCGGATTGATCGATCTAACTTAGATAATAACACTATTGGATGTTAGTTCAGTGGTTTAGAAGTTAGACGTTCGTGTGTGAAACCGAACGTCCTGAGTTTTAGTCTCACGTGCAGGATAGTGCCTGTGCACCGTTGAAGAGTTTGGTGATAGGACGAAACGACCATCTAGTGGTTCCAGGTTTTCATTGACAGTCTAGCTTAGATTGACTCGTGAATTCCACTTTGAAAAACATCAATATCTAACAAGATGTTGAGAAACATTGAATCCATTTTATTACTGAATATCGACATTGCCCAATGTGTAAATTGATAGATGACTTTCTTTATAAATGTTGTCTATGAACGTAAACTTTGATTATATATGTATGTTTTGTAGAACATTAGGTTCAGTATTCGTGTGAGTAATCTGTAATACATTGTACATTATGTAATCAATGTTTGTATTACATAACTAAGTGTTTTCCCAATGGTTTATTGATAAACATTCTATTTTGGGAATAACTTCATGTAGGGGTTTACAACCATGATTCAATCATTTCGTTAGTTCTAGTGTTTTGAAAAGGTTTTTGAATTTTGTATTTCTATATTGAAGTAAAGTCTGTGTAAATGAGGAACTATTGGCATTGCTAATGAAAGACAGAATAAGAGAAAACGTTAATGAGATTCTTTTGAAATGATATATTTCACTTCCTGGAACTCAGGTATTCATCATAGTCTTACTTCCTTACTTACGACTATAATCCACAATGGAGTATAGGCCATTGTTTTATCACAGTCTATAGTGAATGTATTTCTGGAGGTCATAATGTTGATAGTCTTTTCATATTACACATACTTAATTATGCTACGTTACATTATTAGATACATTCAAGATTTGTTCAAGTGTATCACATCGGTTCATTGATAACAGTCAGTCAAGTTGACATACCGCATCAGCACAACAAGATGAATTCAATGATGGTAATATATAAAAGAAGGATTGCATAAAAGGATATAGTACAGGATGAAAGAATTAGTTCGTAGAAAGAAAGATATGAAGTGATTTTAATCTTAGTTTAAGGGAAGACAGACAGTGTATACAACTACGTCATTATGATCATTTCTGTGCCATGTCACCAAGAGTCTCCAACTATTGGTTACGATAGTCATGCGGACTCCAACCAAGTAGTCTTCATCTACCAACATGGCTCACACTAGAAGTTAGTGACTTCAAGCACTGATGTCACGTTTTGGTTTGTCCGTTTCTAACTCTCTTCCAACCATCCCCAAAACCGGTTAGCATTGCGCTATTATTATTTGAATTAAATCTTACAAAGTTAGTGGTGAACGTTATTTTTGGCTTCTTAAGTAAATCACTTAATAACTATGATGGTAATTGAGAGGAATTAACAAAAAATCTTATTTAAAGAAATATGATATTTCAGTACTTATCCAACTATTTTACTGAATCATTTATCAAGTATCCATAGTGAAGCAATAATTTATAGACAACCTTCGAGCAACGCTAACATGACCTTGAAAATGTTCACCTAGTAACTATGACTAAACAAGGGTTATAAACCAGTGTGTGAGGAATTAGACTTATGATTTACTGTGGATGGTTAACATTAGGAATTCGATTTCAGGTTTTCATCACATCAAAATGCATATAAGTTCATGTTCTTGTTGTTTTATTATCAGTATTCTTTTTTACAGATTGTAGAATCTTCATTGTTAAGTGACGAACTGATCTTAATCAGACCAATATTGAAAACTAGGGAGGAGAAGGTAGATGTCTCATTTAAGTATAGGATTCCTAAGCGGTCCATATCCACGACCTCACCGGTAATCAAACTCAGGACTTTTATTCATGTTTAGTTCATACTGTCTCTATATTTGATGGTGAATCGTGTATTTAGTATACTGTGATATAGTCTGTGTATTATATATTGCATCAACCGAGTATTCAGTTAAGCGGTAACAGACTCTCGGTTAACGGTCCTATAACCGTATAATAGTAGTAGAATGAAGTAAATCATGGAATATAGTTTTATTCTCCTTTTATATGACAATAATGGATAAATAGTAAATTAATCAATAAAATTTGATTAGATAATTTGGTGCGACTGCAGTGTGGCGTCGAGTCACGGTTGACTATGAACACCACTACAAGAAGACTACGTGCCAGTTAACCGATAACATTCCCCGTAAGCCAAATATCAGAAGGTAGTTGATGGCTGTAGTCAACATGTATTTGTTGGCGATCTCGTTGTATTGAAAGAATACCGAGATTGTGCCAAAGGAATACAAGTGTGGTTACTGAGTGTAACCGAATTCGTGCAAGGTCACAATGAACGGAAGGAAGAATGTCTTTAGTGCAGATAAACAAACAAGTACAGTAAAACAACCCCTGGTACAATTGGTTATAATAATAATTGTTTCTATTAAACCAATCGCGTTCTTTTGATAGAAGTAGGTCACTACAAGACTGTAATTTATGGATGACCTTTGAACGACTCTAGAATAACCTTGACAGTATCCACCTAATAACTAAGACTAAAGGAAAGTTATAAACCATTGTGGTGAATTATAATTGTAAATTTCAATTGATGATGAGAGTTAGAAATTAGATTTCGCCGTTTCATCATGAATCGACAACAGCTATCATGCTGTAATGGTATTCAGCTAAATGAACCATTAAATTTCGCGCCAAAAATCGATGACCTCTAATCTTCATTTTGATTGGTTCATCCATAAATTATCGTCTTATCATATCCATTTTATACTGAATTTATTATTCAACTTCACTATTAACCTGATTTCTATTTGAAGTACATTGTTTTACCAATTATGGTAAGTTAAAAAAATTTTTTTCCTTTTTATCTCTAAACTATTTATCATTTAAGTATCGGTAGTCGAATGAGTTTTGTGGATATTCTAGTCATTGTTAATAGATGAAATCATAAATTGATTGAAGCTAGACTACCATGGAAAAGCCTGGAAGTACTGAACAACCGTTTCGTTCTATTGTAGGAATTCTCATCAGTGCACATCCATGATCACACCTCGTAAAATTCGATTCCAGAATCAATCGATCTCGCATGAGAACGCTTTCACTCCAGATCACTGAACCAGCATCTAAAATAGGGTTAATTTTTAACTTTAATTTATCCATGAAATTGTGCCACTGTCCATCATCATCTCACAACAGACCCGGTTGAACTTCACTGATTACTACTTCTTACTAGAATTTCAGGAAATACTTCTTGAAGCTAGTCATTAGTTAGCATGTGATGATTATTATCAGAAAGGGGTTTTGTGGATATTATAGTTTTTTAAAAAAAATTGAGATCATGAGTTAATTGAAGTTATACCATCATAGAAAACTTGGAAGTACTGAACGACGGTTTCATCCTACTCTGAGTCTCCTCAGTTAAAGACAAATGAAATCGCGTATTATGTTGATATATTTCATTGATCGAATAGGCATTTAAGTTTCAACTTCTTGTATCTATGATAAAAGTACTTTCAAACGTTCATTCAGTTGTTTTCATTCGTTACGTAATAGTTACATATATTACATAAATGTTTTAGTATGAATTATGCAGTTAGTCGATCATTGAAAAGTGAACAATGTCATATGTGTTTAGCTGAGGGTAGGGAAAGTCAGCTCCTTTCTCTCTCGAAATGCTTTCATATGGTCATGCGTATATAGTCACGTCCAGGGAAGTCCTACTTATTGCTTTCTCGTGACAGGGGTGTTGTTTACGAAAATGAGAAAGCGAAATGCGAACAACCTACCCTTTAATTGAGTTGATAGATATGGAGGGTCCACCTAGGGAGCTGAAAAGCCCTCATTTCAAACCAATCATCATCATCTATGTTCAGATCTTTCAACAGATTTCAACAGATTTAATCCACATTTAAACTTTATCTTTTCTTTATTAATAAAACAAAAAAAAACGAAAAAAAATTTTTTTTTAATTTTTTGGTCATTTTTTTCATTTTTAGGTTTTTATTAAAACAAGGATTGGGTTTACCATGACAACTTAGAAAAATCAATAAAATCACTTTTGTTTCTATGAGACTTTATTATTCTTGTTTTTTTGTTTTTCGTTTTTATCTTTTTATCTTTTTCTTTATTTTTGTTTTCATTAAGATGTGAATTTTGTGCAAATGGATTATTATTTTTATCCGTCAAATTAATTGTGATAAGATTCTTTCGATGATGATCATTTTCTGTTTTGTTCTGTTTTGTTTTTCTGTTGAAGTTGAATCATCATTAAAGTAATTTCATTTTAGTAATTAGTACTTTTAATTGATTCAATGAGTAGTCAATAGCTTGAAGAATTGTGATGATGAACTGATTGATGTTAGACTACTATTGAAAATCTGGTAACAGTGAATGGTCGTTTCGTTCTATTGTGGGACTCCTCAGTAGTGTGCATCTACGATCGTGCTCGCTTAACATAACTAGATCACTGAGCTGGCATTCAATCGTGTTCATGTTTAACCTTAAACAATTCACAAGATTGCGTGAACATCGTCCATTTTACTGAGATAGATACTTGTCTATATCTCAAACTGAAGGTCCTGAGTTCGAATCCGGTGGGTGGGATCGTGGATGCGTACTGTTTGGTAGTCCGACAATAGGATGAAACGGCCGTCCAGTACTTCCAAGTTTTGAATGGTGGTCTAACATCAATCGGTTTATGATCTCAATCAATAACTTAATAATCTCTATAACCCTATAGTCAAATCTTGAATGGTTTACATTTACAAACATATGGACTATCCATTGTCATGTAGGATTCAAATTTTAAGTTCGAATCCATATGTGTTAAATTCAGAACCATTGATCCATCATTCACTGGTACAAATATCATTGTAATGAACAAGAATATAGATAAAGACAACTAATTGTAGATGTAAAATGTAAAAGGCATACTTCATTTGTAAGTTTTTCAATAATTGTCTCTAATTTTATTGTTCCTTTATCATCATAACGATTATTCTGTATTTGTCGTTCTCTTTTCAACTCAATCTTCTGTAGTGAATGGGAACACAAGTGGGAGTAATCGAATGTGTTTTTGAGCATGAAATCACAGAACATGTTTGTTAAGTCTGAGAACAATATTATGAGGGTGGAAAAGATTTTTTTGTAGCTCAGTTGGATAATTTCGATGAACTTTTGTTCTCTGATCTGGTTGGTTTGATCGTGGAGTTTTCATCGTTCTTCTGAAGAAGTAAATTCTTCATTTGTAAAATGTCCATAAATCGTCTCAAACTAGACTGTTACTGATAAGTCTTGTCAATTGAACGCTATATTCGATTCCTAAGCTATTCTAATAACCCGTAAGCTAGAACTACACTGCGACTTGAACACCAGAGAGAAGGCGCAAGATGTGAGAGAAATACTTTACTCCAAGGTTCGTTCTTGTACAGAAAGTCATGGGTATTTATAGATGTTAGCGTTTGTTAAATCAACATTATATTTCACCCAATCCGTTAGCGACATATGCTACTGACCAAAAGTAGCACACCACTTTGGAATTCTAGAATGCTCTATCATGCTCTTATTGGCTAGGACTTTTCGGCTCCATTTCGGTCTCTGGAGGCTCAGGTGAAGTTCTCCGAAAGCCGACTCAACAGCTACATTTTGCAAATATCAGTTAATCGTCTCAGATTTGATTATTCTTACATTTTCACACCAATTGATTTCCGTTCTCATCCTTTCCTTGTCGATCTTCTACTGAAATACACTCTATTCCTGACTATCATTATATACTATTTATGTGGATATAAGTAGCTCAAACTACACTTCTCAACCTTTTACTGCTAGATGTTTCACTTCTCATTGATGATAAATACTATTTATATCTATCGAAAACGTCAATAACATACACCACATTGCTTAACTGTTTGAACGAGTGTATAATCATAATGGTGGAGAAGATTTGTAGCTCAGGTGGATGATTTTGATGGAGTTTTGTTCTCTGAGCTGGATGGTTTGGTCGTGGAGCTTTCATCGTTCTTCTGAACGACATCATCAGCACAAACACTTCACTTCTATCTGAAGTTTGTGCTGATGATGTCGTTCAGAAGAACGATGAAAGCTCCACGACCAAATCATCCAGCTCAGAGAACAAAACTCCATCAAAATAATCATAATACATGGAGTTTAGTGGAAAACAAACAACTTTATTAAGTTGAATCAAGTGTCAATCATTTACCATTCTAACTGTGATGAATTCATGTCGATTAGATTTTTTTCGGGGGGGGAGATGTGGTTATTAGTAACTACAGTCTACCATCGTTTATTGATCATGCAAGTGATACTCTCTAATTTCCATGTAAACTATTGTCAGATAAAGATATTGATTATGTTATCTGAATGATGTCATGGAAGTTAAATTAGAAAGATTCCCTGAATATTAATTGATCGTCTTCAATAAGTTGAGCTTATGAAGAACGACGTTTTTTCTATCGTTTTTTGTAATCGATCTATTAATTATATATGTATTTACTTACTTACTTGAGACTGTTACCCCTCATGGAGGAGCATAGACTGTCTACCAGCATTCTTCATCGGACTCTATCATGTGCAATCGTTTTCAGTTGTTATCAGTTGCTATTCATTCTTTTCATGACTATTTTTAAATCACGACGCAATGTGTTCATTAATCTTCCTCTTTTCGTTTCCTCTTCAAGATTTCAACTTAAGGCTTGCCTTGTGATGCCATTTTATGATTTTTTCAATATATGTTCTATCCACCTATCTGTGAATATTAGCTGATATTCAATGGATGAATTCGGTTAGCTAGTAACAAAACGCAAGTATAAGTAAAGATGGCTAATGGCTCGTGAAGGAGTCGATGACGCGTATTTCGTTCTATTTGAGACTCGTCAGATAGATGTACCTGCATCTAAGAGTTGATATTGACTCTAAAACTCGAAGCCAGTATTGTTCGCTACAAACGCCATCGTGTTATTCACTTATGTTAGGATTGAAATTGATCAGCCTCTTATTGGCATATGTGCATCTTCTGAGGATTCATTCGATATTGACATATATATCACAAAACCTGAAAGTACTGAACGACTGTTTCGTCCTAGTATAGGACTCCTCAGCAGTGCGTATCCACAATCCCGCTCACAGGATCCGAAACCTAGTTTTATCGGTTTCGCTCGCGAACACTTAACCTCTAGATTACTAAACCGGTATCTGATGATGTTAATGTCTAACTTCAACCAATTCTCGAAATTGCATCATCGTCTACCACTGTCTATCTCACAACAGACCCTGTTTAACTCCCATACCAGGTCGAAACGGTCATACAGTGCTTTCAGGTTTTTCATGATGGTCTAACTTCAATTGACTGATGAATTCAATTACTAAATTACTATGGTATCCCTAAAAACCCCCTCTCTGATCATTATCATGTGTTGACCTATTCACCAAATAAATCGGTTGTAGCCATCAGTTAGCAATTTGTATTTATTCTTCAAATGATCTATTAAATTTTTTTTATAAAAGAAACATTCATATCCAATTCATTACTGTGATATGCGTCGATCATCATGTTATTCCACTGTTGATAAAAGAAAGAAATGAAAGCATTGAGCATCATGAATAGAATATAGAACATGTTAGTCTGTAAAGAAATGTACTGAATATTCATAGATTGAAGTAAGATGGTTTGAGGTAGTTGTAGTAATGAGTGAACCTACTGGAAGATTGTCAACAACTATGAAGGATTGATAAAATCTTCAGTGTGCATCTAGGACTTCGTCAAAGACTGAATAGACTCAATTGATAGATCACTGGCTGGTGATTAGTGAAAATCCACCGTCTCATAGTTGGCCGATGAAGCCAGTCAGTCATGTTCAGCCATATCAAATGGAAAGCAATTACCCAATAATAACATTAAATGAATTGCTTGAAATTAGAAATATACATCATTCGATACCAAGTTACTGATCTTAATATAAACCTTCGCTGCAAGACATAAAGGTTATGGAAGATTGTGGATGTGCACTGAAGGAGAGTCGTATACTAAGATGAAACAATTGTGTAATTCTTCATTGTTTTCAATGTTTGTCTAAATAATGTCACTTCATGATATTAACTATGAAACCGAATTAATTGGAAAATGGTGGTAAAACGTTTCAAAGAAGTCAAAGTTTATACGTTTGATGACTAATATTGCCCCCAAAAGGGTAGGAAGAGTCCGCTGTCACATAGCTACAGTTAAAGAAGTCCTAATTACTGCCTTCTTGAGGTAGGACTGTTGTATACAAGATCGAGAAGAAGAAAGGTGAATGTCCATCGCTTTAACCGTGTTGTTGGATATTGAGGATCCATCTAGAGAAGTTGTAGAACGCTAATTCCAAACTAACGGTACACATGAACTCTAGAATCCCGATGGAACAAATGGAACATGAACCAATTGTCGGTCATCGGCTATCACTGGATTTCATCTTCTAAAGTCGCTCAATTGCCTTCTGGATTAAACCTTCATGTCATAGTTTTGAGGTGTGGTCCTCCTGTTTGAGCACCAGGACAGTATCGAATGTTTTATGTGACGCGAATCTATTTGGTGCAAGAAGGCACCAATGTTTATGTCTTTAAGTAAACAAATAAATATAAGTGAAAAGAAACGTTGACATGCTTTAAATGAATACTAATTTCAATAAAAGAAACTTACAAAAAACTCGTAGCAATTCTGTATATTTCAAATTCATTATAATAAAGTATTAAGGTAAAATTTCTATTCTGATCTAATAATATGAAGAACTGATGATTCAAGATACATGGTATGATCTGACATAACTGATTAGTTAATTCGGTCTGATACCAATTCATCAAGGCATTAACTGTATTATAGGCAGGAGAAGATGGTGGCTATCAGTGGAATTCACGACACGAGTTTCGTCCTATTCAGAACTCGTCAGATGAGTGTACGTGAAGCCCAGAATTGATGTTCGCTCTGGGTTTCGAACCCAGTACTGTCCAATCTAAACTCCATTACGTTATCCACTTAG